ACAAAAATTGTTTTCTAATTTTAGTGTTGAGAATAACACACCGAATTATCCTCCACTTTACCTTGTGGTGCTTGTCATTTGATTAAAATGAGGTACTTACCATTTGGTTCGAGTTGCAATAGAGCAAACTCTTGCTTTGATTTAGTGTATGTTGACATTTGGGGCCCCTATCATCTACCTTATACTTGGAGAGAAAAGTATTTCTTAACATTGGTTGATGATTACAGTATATACACATGGGTATTTCTGATGACATTAAAATCACACGCCTTGCATATATTTGTCACATTTCTCAAACTCGTTCATACTCAAATCAACACTAAAGCGAAAGGCATTAGAAGTGACTTTGGTGGAGAATTTGTCTCTACTTCTTTTAAGACTCTTCTGCAAAATCATGGCATCTATTACTATAAATTGTGCCCTTATTCACCGCAGCAGAATGGTAGAGTGGAAAGAAAACACCAATATTTGATTTCTGTTGCAAGAACTCTCTTCATTCAGGAAAAGTTACCTTCAGAATTTTGGGGTGAGGCCGTGCTAAAAGCCACACACCCGATCAACCTATTACCTAGTCCCATTTTACAATGGAAGTCCCCCTCTGAAGTCCTCTTCAACAGAAAATCAGATTTGAACATTCTAAGAGTTTTTGGTTGCCTTTGCTATGTTTAAAACACTGATATCTCAATAGATAAATTCAACAACACAAGTCTTCTGGGGTATGAAAAAGGCATTAAAGGATACAAAATTTTTATTATTTTTTCCAGGGAGTTTGTTATCTCTAGGCATGTGGAGTTCTTTGAGTCCATTTTCCCTAGCTTACCCTCTGCTACTTCATAATTGAATTCTCCTTATACTTAGTATCCTTTGGTGGACCTTAATGCTCCCTCTTGCACTCCACCCACAGGTGACTCAATCTCTCTAGACAACAATAATATTTTTATGGCAACTTCTCAAGATGCTTCATCCACTTCATCACTCTCAATCGATACTGATTCAACCAAACCACCTATTTCCATGACTTATACTATTTCTGATGCATTAGAAAGACCCTAAAGAGAGCCTAGAAATCCTGGATGGCTGAAGGATTTTGTTTGCGCATGCACTGAAGCTGAGAGTGAGCCAACAACCTACTTGGAGCCTTCTTCCAATCCCCTTTGATTAAAAGCTATGAAAGAGGAACTTGATACCCTTGAGGGAAATCACACTTGGGATATTGTTTCTAAACCTGCACACAAACATGTCATTGGGTGCAACTAGATCTTCCGAATTAAAAGGAATAATTCAGAGGCTATTTCAAGGTACAAAGCTCGACTTGTTGCTAAAGGTTACCTTCAAGAACCTGGTATTTGCTTTGGGTATAGCTTTGCCCTTGTCACTAAATGCACTACTGTCCGTTTATTGTTAGCTATTTCTATGCCTAAGGGGTGGCACATTCACCAGATCGATGTAAACAATGTTTTCCCCCATGGCCATCTTAATAAAAAAGTTTATCTAAAACCTCATCTTGGTTTCACTGTGCCTCCCAACCATGTTTGCAAGCTTAATAAATTTTTATATGACTTGAAACAAACCCCTCGTATCTGGTTTCAAACATTGGCTGCTAAGGTGCTTGCTTTTAGTTTTCATCAATCTCCACACGATCACTGTCTTTTCATTATATACAGAGATAATGATCTGTTGGCTCTTACTGTGTATGTCGATGACATACTTCTCATTGGATCATATGTTCCCATATTCTTGAGGTCAAGAGTTATCTTCATGGTTTATTCACTATCAAGTATATGGAATATGCAACTTTCTTTTTTGGAAATTGAAATCATTCAATCTAGTTCTGGATTATTTTTATCACAACACCATTATGTTGTGGATATTATTAAGGACCTAGACTTGGGCAATGCTGCTTCTACTGGCACACATCTTCCTCAAGGTATTAAGCTCTCCTAACTTAATGGTGACTTCTTAATGACCCTTCTCTTTATAGAAGATTGGTGGGAAGGTTTTTTTACCTTAAATTTTCTCGCCTTGATCTCACATTCGCAACACAACAACTAAGGCAATTGATGTCCCGACCTACCACTAGTCATCTGAAAGCTGCCCACGTGTTGCGCTATCTTAAGAACAAATTGAACTATGGTCTCTATTACACTGCCTGCCTCTTCTTGCGTATCTCCGCATATGCTGATGCCGATTGGGGCGTTTTCCAGGACACTCACAAATCGATCACAGGCTTCTGTATTTTCATTGGCAATAATTTAGTTTCTTGGAAGGCCAAGAAACAAAGTGTTGTGAATATGTCTACAGCTGAGTCAGAACACCAGACTATGAGCGCCGCCATGATAACTCCAAATAACAATATTATTTTCGATTGAAAAAATTGTGTATTACTTGAATTTTATGTAAAAACCATCGCAATTTCTAATTTATGCCCTACTTTGTAGATTTGTTTTGCTTGCCATGACCCAGAGTTTTTCTATTGAGATTATTAACGTTTTTGAACTTTTCAAGCGATGTTTCTGGCCTAGAAAAGCTAAGTGTTGAAAGTCAAGCGACGGTGCTCCGGCTTGTCAAGCGACACTCTTACCGTTTGCACAAGCGCCAACGACTAGATATCTGTCACTGCAGAAGCGAGATTGGACCATCATTAAATTTTACCAAGTGTTCATCTCTCAGCGGTCAAGCCATTCCACTACCACCCAACGACAATATCACCGCTTGAGCCGCGCTGGTGCCCTCTAGCCATCCAAGAAACCAAAGAAGATCTGTGATCTTACATTCCAAAGCGAGAGAAACGGCGATCAAAGAGTTACGGCCGGTGCAACTGCTTCAACAAATTAACTGCACTTAACAGCCTAACTGCCTTACGGTTTCAACCGCCGCTCAACTGCTCTGCAACTGCCGATTTCATAGATCTATAAATAAGCACAGATTCCATTTGTAAAAAATACACTACACACAAGTGTTCTTATTTTTAGCAGATTCTTAGTGCTTTCCGAGAGCTCCAACCCTGTAAGGGAGTTCTCTAGATAGAAATGGCCAGAGGAGTCGAGATGATCTCCTCATCTGGCCGCTCATCTTACTGTTTTCTAGTTTAAGTTTACAACTTTGTTACTTTTTTTTGTAATGTAAATCTTTACTGTTTTCCTAGTAGTCAATGAAATATCACGATTTCTTCATACTCACCTTCATCCCCACTTCATATTTGTGTCAAGATGTTAAAATTAGAATTCTATTTCGCTGAGAAAGAACAGAGAAGAATCGACTAATTAAACCTAGATTTGAGTCGTATTCCTTAACATAATTTAGGCAATTCAATATAGTTAAGTACGCGGGAGCCTTTTCGACCTGCTTAGCTGATGTTCCGAATTTGATTCTGAAAAAGAGAGGTATCATTAGGATAAAGCCACTAATAATTAAAGGGTCATAGGCGATTGTCTATTAGGCCACAGGAATGTCTAGCGACAGTAGCATTTCTTGCCTATAATATTCTGATTTTGGGTGTCATTAAAGTCTATTGTAAATCTCTTAAGGTCAAGTATCAACGATTTCAGTTTCTATGTTAATCATTCTACGCAATTACACTCACTTCTTCTATCATTATGTGTTATAAATACATGTTTCGCTTATTCACTATCATCGCTCGCTCATTACATCAATGAATGTCTAGCCATTAAAAAATGCACAAATCACACACAACATTATCTCATCCCCTAATCGCTCGTTATACACTCACTCGCTCTCGCTCACACCGCTCTCTGTGCATCCATTGCTCGCGCACCATCCTCATTACAACTCCCACCAACCGCTTAGTTTTACTCGCTTTAGTTTAAATTCTATTTTAGTTTAACTGTCCTCTGGCTCGCTCACGAGCAAACCGGCTTACCGTTTTTCCGCTGCGCCTAACTTGTATGAAATTCTTGATCTAATTTCATTACTTAAAATCCCTGTGTTTGACCTGAAAATTCATCAATAAAAAAAGTCTAAATAATTGTACTCAATAGTATACAATTCACTCAATGAACTCATAATAAATTCCTTGTCTAAATTCCAATTTTCGCTTATCATGCCACCAACGAATTAGTGTGGATTTCCTACATCTTTCAAGCTCTCCGACTTCCAGTTTCCACTCCCATTCCTCTGTGACAATCAGACAACAATTCACATCACGAAGAACTCCGTTTTTCATGAACGAACTAAACATAATTGACATTACCTGCCATTTTAACCGCCACTACTATTATGCCAAATTCATTTCTCCAGTATTTGTTCGTTCTGATGAAGAACTTGCCGATATTCTTATCAAGCCTTTTCGGGACCGGCATTTTCAAAATTTCCCTTTAAGCTGTGTGATTCGGGGGGGGGGATGACAACAATCACAACACTCCGGGTCACCATCGAGAGGTTGAAGAAGACAATCTTTTGGCCCAGTAACTTGACCTTTAATAATTTTTTGTAATTGAGGCTCAACTCATACTTTAATCTCCTAAGCCCAATCTATAGTCAATTTTAGTAGTTAATTGTACATACATTCTCCCTTCTCCCTTGTATCTATTTTTTTTTTGGGAAGTTAATAACAATTTTAGATTCTTTTCATCTGGTTGGTTTTGCTTCTTCGATTTTATTACAAACAACTAATTTTTAATGAAATGCCAGTAGGCAATGTAGACGAACAAATGCATGATGACTCGGATAATTTTGGTAAGGAATTAGAAGAGGTTTTGATGCTCAATCAATTTCAATTCGCTGATGAAGACGCAGCCGTGGACTCTTTCGAAGAAGATGACAGTAGTAACAGGTGACGAACACTTCCTAAGTAATGTGTGAAATAGATTATTGAGATCAATGAATTTTCTTAACATAGGCATATATTTAATTAGATATTTTGATATTAATATTACAATAATTTTTATGAAAAACTATCATATTAAATATATTTCTTTCAAGGGGCATGAATTTCATGTTAATCCGGTGACACTAGAATAGTACTAATTTAACCCGATCAATAATATATATAAAAAAATATATATATTTTACATATTTTACATATTTATAATACAATATATTTTATATTATAATACAATATATGATATCTTAGCACACAATGTACGCGACTTATGCGACTTTTGTCTTTCATTGAATCATTCCATTTCCAAATTAGGTTCCTCCCACTTCTCAAATTCTTGATTTCCATCACCATTTCTTGAAGATGCACCTTCAATATGCCCATTTCCCATATCAAATTTCCACCAAACATTAGTCCTATGATGTGTGAAGTACACACAATTCTTCTTACATCCAACACTTCTTGCAACAACTCCCATACAACATTCATCCTCAACAAATAATGCCTTCTCTCCAATACTCTTCACCTTCACCCACAAAAGCTTCCCAACATCAAGCCTAAACACCTCGACATCATCGACGACATCGATCGACTTTCTCGACACAAGTAGAACCAACAATATCTCCCCATCCACCTCAAACAAATACTCCCTAAATTGCCTCGACAAACCCGAAGGAACCGCCCGATTCGCCCCGATCGCCGTGATCTCGACCCCCTCGATCACCGCAACACTTCCTTGCAAGCTCAACGCATAGAACTTCCCGCCGTGGCCTACGACGTTCGTAAAACTCATACATTGCCCGGGAGCGTAAGGCTCTTCGACGACGCAATTTCGAAGAATCCAAGGCTCCCCCCATTTGTAAAACCCTAAAGCAGGGGAGCACATTCCGGTAATCGCCAACACGCCGTTACGATGCTTTTGAAACGACAAAAACGGCGATGATATAACACAAGTCTTGAAAGGGATATTCGAGTCCCATTTCGACAAGTAGTAGTAGCTTTGCACCGCCGGATTCCACAAATATAAATCACACGAATTCGATCCCGCGACGACCACCGATCCACCGGTGCATCCTTTGAAACGTCGCCCGGGGCAGAAGTAGTTGTTGTATGATCTTCTCTTGTAGTAGCAGTAGGGAAACTTTTCGTGGAACTGAATGTCGACGACGTGGGAACGGCCTCGTAGCTCCTTCATATCGATTTCGACCAAGAGTGGCGACCGGGATTTGGTGCATTGTTTCGGAGGCGATCTCCACGACTTTGCGGCGAGGCAGCCGAAGGCGGTGATGTTGTGCATCAGGGTGGGGTGTATGGCTAATAGGGTAGTGATTTGGGGGGGAAGATTAGGCCATGGGAATGGCTTGTGGCTATCTTCTTTGTTCTTGTTCTTGTTCTTCTTCATTCTTGCAATGTGGTTCTTCATTTTTGTTGTTTTTGGGAAGATTTATGTTTGGTTTTCTATGTTAATGTCTGCAGATGTATTTATGAAGAGCTTTGCCGTAGCCTCCAAGGTGTGTTCATTTTTTAGACACACACATACAGAATATTATATATATATATATATAAAAGTATGTATGTATGTATGTATGTATGTATATTAGTTGTGTGTATGTAGAGGTGGAGAAGCTGGTTGAGTATATATTAAAAATTGACTTGGGAGAGAGGAATTCCCTTGAGCTGCAAGAATGAAGGCTTTGTCGAATCTCAGAAACGATACTTGAACAATATTATAAAATCTATATATATTAATATATACATTCCCTCAACAGCTATACAAAATAAAAGAATAAATATCTGTAAAAGGTCTAACTAAGGCTGTGTTTTTTTTATTGAGTTTGAGAAATGATTTGGTATTAAAATAATATTTGATGGTTAGTTTTGTAAGAGAAAAATATATATTTTTTCGGAAAAAACAGAGTTCAAATAGTAAAATTTTAGAAAATTTGATTAAAGAAATAGAGACGACGAGGCTTTGTTATTTTAGATTTTTTTTCTCTACACATTTTTTCAAAAAATTAAAAATATATATTATACATATTTATTATTTTTATATTCCCTACACAATTCTCTATATTTTGCATAAAAAAAAAAAAAAAAATTGCTCAAATCATTTTCACAAAACAAACACCCTAAATACTTAATCTTATCTACATGTAAAACTTTGTAACAGATAACAGCTTAAAGAGTAAAAAGCCTTCCACATATGCAATTATATTTATAAAAGATGTAACATATCATAACAAAAATTAATAAAGTAAAAATATAATTTAATCATATAAATATAAATTACATATTCTCTATGTGCCCAAATGTATTGTGATTTTAATAAAATATATTACTCCCTCCGTCATCAAAATCTGTGTTCATTACCTTTATATTTTTAAAAAAAATAAACACAGATTTCGATGACGAAAGTAGTATAATTTATGCACAATAGTACTTTGAGCAGCCAATGTCTATAAAGAAAATATAATACTCCTTCCGTCCTGCAAGAAGGTTGTCATAATTTTTTTGCATTTTGATCTTTAAATATTAATTATTATAGAAAAAAAAGACAAAAATACATTTATTAGTCTCTTATAATACAAATACAATGATATTTGTTTAGTAAATTATTCAAATATAAAAATATTTTTAATATTAAATACACTGATGCAAAAACTAAATGACAATATTCTTGCGGAACGGAGAAAGTATACGAATCGGTAATGCACTATTTCATTACTATATTATACTTTGCCATGAATTGTTGGGTAATGGGTCAAATCAAAATCTAACCGTGGTGGTATCAAAATCTACACTATTGTTTACTTATATTTTCCCACCTTAGTTTTTCCTATCAAAATTTCTTTATTTATATGATTTCATTTAGATATATTGTGAAAGTATTTTAAAATTTTTAGTTGGATTAAAAAAGTAAAAAAGAAAATAAAAATTAATAGAAAATAAATTATTCACTCGACAAAAATAAGAGTTGGACAAAATACAATACATTTTTAACTAATATTTTAAACAAAATAAGTATTTGACTCAAATTTTAAAATCTACTTTATATATTTTCCCTCGAGTCGGTCCTTTCAATTTCTTTTTCTTTCTTTACCTTTTTAAATGTGGGCCCCATAATAAAAATATATATATATATATAAAAAGAGTAGAACTGGTAAAATTTGACTCGACCTATAATCTGATATGAATCAGACCTAAAATAGTTGGATTCATATTAAAATTTTTGATCCAATTAATAATTGGGTCAAACTTATTAAACTCATTTAATTAAATGGGTCAGGTTTAGGCTAAAATTTTTAACCAAAAATAACTTGTTTAACCTGTTAATAAACATTCCTTTAAATTTAAATATATTTTTTAAATCTTACCACTCCAACTCAATTATTAATGGGCTATTTTATAGAAAAATAAAAAAATAATAATAATGTTACATACACATACATCATACGTGTACAGTTCATAATGTTGGATGTGAATGTCTTGTCCTTACATACGTACTCCTTTATTATTTGATGAGTTTTTGGTTTTCTCTCAACCTAGTATTGTAGGTCCTAAGCTCCCTATAAATACGAGACATATTATATTCATTTTGACACAGATTGAAAGCAATCAATTTCATATCACATCGCCTCTCTCTCTCCTTTTAACACACACGCTTATATATATATATATATCTACATAATATATATACTCATATATTGCATACTATATATAATACATATATACACTAAAAATATTATGTTAATATTTATACAAAATAGTGATTACCGGTAGGGATAATTAATATTCCTATTTTTTATTCTTATAATATTAATATTTAGAACAAATAATAATATTTAACCCAAATTTTGCAAAAATTAGGGCATTCTAATTTCAAACATATATTGTCCACTACTCAAGCCTTTTCCTCCGCCGTTATCATTTCATCTTGTCATCCTAAAACCAGTACCAGTGCCAGTAAATCTTTGAATCCTTTATTTTATTTTATTTTTTTTCTTTCAATAGGTTGAAAAACAAAATTTATGGCATGTTTGTGTGCTAAGTCTGTGCACTATTGTTTCACAATCATACGTTTAAAAAATAAAATTTATACTTTGAATATAATTTTAAATGTATTGTGAATGAGTTGATTTTTATTTTATTATTACAATTTTTCAAAATTATTTATTATATTTTTATTTGCAACATATTTATTTTTATTCAAATTGTATATAAACAACAATGACGCAGAGAGTATTGATTATGTTCACTTATATTCTTCTGAAGATGAAGAGGATAATAATAACAAAGTCAGGAATAATCACAGGTATCAAAAAAAATTATAAACCTGTTATTCCTGGAAATAAAAAAAACGGGTTCGTAGACTTACTTCTGAAGTTTGGGCGCATTTCGATTTTCTTGGTGAACCTGATGAAAATGGAAAGTTGGTATGTAAATACAAGAAATGTGGCAAACTTTTTAATGGATCAAGTACAATGGGCACAGGACACTTTAGTCGTCATCTTAAAGTTTGTCTCAAGAGTACCTATAAAGATGTTGGACAAATGATTTTGTCAACATCTTAAGTTTAGAAAATAGGTTGCCAAAATTCAGTATTAATGTTTTTTCGTGAACTATTAGCCATTGCTATTGTTAAGCATGATCTTCCATTTCAATTTGTTGAATATGAAGGAATTAGACAAATTTTTTATTATTTGAATCCTCAATCAAAGTGAGTTTTAAGGAATACAATTAAATTTGATGTGCTTAAGATGTCATGATGGAGAAACAGTGACCATAAAAAGAATTGAATTTGGTTAATGATAGAGTATAACTCACATCAGATTGTTGGATTTCTATAACTATATATGACTATATCTCTCTAACCTCTCACTTTGTTCATAAAGATTGATGTTTACAAAAAAAAAAAATTGAACTTCTGTTTTATGCCTCCACCTCATACGGGAGTTCATTTGAGTGATCAAGTGTGTGCTCTGTTGAAGGTTTTCAAAGTCGAAAACAACAATTTTTAAGTTGCATTGAATATGAAGGACTTGAATCTTCTAAGGGATTAAAACAAGATATTCCAACTAGGCGGAATTCGACATATTTGATGTTAAAAAGTGTCTTGTACTACAAAAAAAAACTCTAATCAATTTTCAGAAGGTTGATGATGTGCATTGCCCAACAGAAGAGTGGGTATAAGTAGAAAAAGGATATTCAAATATTTAAAAGTTTTGTATGAAGCAAATATCCTACTGTCAATTTGTATTTTCCTAATATTTTGAGGATTCCATTAGTCTTGAAAGATGAAATGGACAACTTGGATATTTTCATGAAGACAATGGCAAATAGGATGTTCAAGAAATTTGACAAATATTGGTCTCAATTTAGCACAATTATGGCTATTGCTGTGATTTTGGATCCTCGTTTCAAGTTGCAATTTGTTCAATGGAGTTTAAGAAATATTTATGGATTGGTGAAAACTATAACTTTGAGTTTTTTAATCTTGAAGAGAGAGTGAAGCGGTTGTATGATTCTTATGCATTACAATTTTCATTTGCATCACAAGAACTGTTAAAAAATAAGGACAATCAAGACAGAAGTGCTTCTGACGCATCATGTGATGAGTTTATGACGATAAAATTATATAATAATTTTTTTATTGTATTATATTTCTTTTATTTTTTATATGAATGAAATATTTTTAATTATTATTTTATTTTAATGTTATATTTTTAGGATTTTGACAGCTTCTCAAATTCTCATATCGGTGGAAATGGAAAATCTGATTTGGAACTTTATTACGAAGAGCCACTAGTACCTCGCACAAATAACGTTGATATTTTGAAATATTGGAATTCTAATGCAATTCGTTATCCTACCTTTCTCAAATGGCTAAGGATGTATTAGCAATCTCAATATCAACTGTGGCTTCGTAATCGGCATTTAATATTGATGGGAAGGTCCTTGATTGTTTTAGAAGTTCGTTGAAATCGTCTGCTGTTGAGGCAATTATTTGCGTAGGAGACTGGACATTTGAAGAAGGTAATAAATTTATATATTACCAATTAATTAAATATTTTTTGTTCTATCAATATAAGTCTAATTATTTGTATTTGTATCTGTATGTGTGTTTAATAGAAAAAATGAATCATCAATTGGATGATTTATGTGGAAAATTAATGAATTCCAATGCTGAAAATACAGAAGATACTCGTGAAGAAGTGATGTAATGGTGATTTATGGTGGATAGTGGTGGATCCTGAATTGTGTTTATTAATTGAGGATGACAGTAGAAAAATTTGTATTGTTAGTTGTTACCTTACGACTTTATAATATGAAATAAATATTTCTAGTTTAGTATTTTGTATGATATTTGTTAATTAGATTTTCGGAAATCGATTTCATAATATGAATAAATTTTTTTATTTTAGTATATATTTAATCACATA